GCCGTTTGTGATATTGATATAGTATCCCATTCGTGCATGCCAATATTACTTGGAATGATCTTCAAAAAATAAACCAGTGACATAGTTATAATTGAACCGATGTCCCTTATATACACGGTTATTTAATATTATTGTATTGTCAGAGGTCAAAGATCAAGGTCACTATAAAGCCTTAATGCATGCCAATATTACAAAGCATGAGAGACCGATCTTGCGAGATCCTCATTTGTAGTCAAGATTGTTAAACACTCCTTAGAAGTATTACAAAGCATGTCTGCTGCACTACATGGAACAATTTTACCATGTGTAAGGTGTAGCGTTTCCTAAATATCAAGGCCATAAGTTTAAAGTTCAAGGTCATCTCATCGGTCATTTAATTATGTGTAATGTTCCTTTGTATACGATTTAAACTTTGCTTCATTTTTCACAACAAAAATTAAGGAGATATGTGTATGGCATGTTTTCTCAGAAGAGATGCAAAATCAAAACTCAATGTTGCAGTAATCTGTTTAAAAAAGTAATCCATACATTTGTTTGACACATCCACGTATATATTATTACGCAACTCCAAATCTCTCAATAATTCTGCTGCAGTAAAACGAAAAACAACAAATATTCGGATTTTTTTTTTAATAATCTGTTTGTTCCACTGAGTGGTAAAAAGTTGGATATGAATTGATGGAAATGTTGGAAGTGTCCATTTATAGATTTTCATATATATTTGTCCCATTTTCATACCGTTTTTATATAACCTTTTTACTGAATAAAACCTAATGTATGTACTATATTTTCTCAATTTTTTAAACACTAACACGTTATCTGATGGTCTTTCTCGTTAAGCATTATATAAGAAGTTAACCCCCATCCCTCAGTCTTGTTCGGGTTGTTTAGATGTAATTGCACTTGTTTTTTGTTCGTCTCTTTTTTTTGTTGTTGTTGAAGATATTTATAGCGGAACTGCATGACAAACTATGAATTTATAACACCAATTAGTCTTATATATATTTGAATGATTTATTTATATTATTCAATTCTAGTCATGTTTGCAATTTCCAAAACAATGTGAAAGTTGCAACTCGAATAAAATCCGCGCAGGTCCTCTTTAACGGCAATCGACAAAAGATTCTTCTGGATGATCATAGTCATTGGAATTTTAACGGCGGACTATGATTGTGTGAGGTTATACAAGGTCATTATATATGAGAAAGGACAAACCCAGGCCATTTCCAACAAATCGCTTGTAAAGCGTAAAATTTCCTTTCTTCCATAAGCTTTCCATCTAGATTTGATTATACTGCTTACAGTTTATGTAAAGGAGCATACTAGTTAATCTATTCTGATTGTTATGAATTTGGTGCATATTATATATTATAATGTTTACAGTCCTTTAAAATCGAAAAATATTTTCTCTATTGTAAACGAATACATCTACATAAAAGGGAAATAAAGAGACGAACAGACTTAAATAAGAAACAGTCTCATTTTTATGAAACTTTTTACATACACAAAGTCCATAATTTTATTTTGGAATAACTGGACTATATGGAGACATTAAACTGAAGCCGATTGTCTGACGTTTAATTATAAATCAAGTGGCAGAACTGCTATTAACTCTGAATCAGAGGTGTTATTTTCCAGTCAAGTAATTTTTTAATGCCACCAAGAGTACAATGAATCTTCCAAGAACCAAATTATTAAGAAACAGCAAAATCAATGAAATCTTCGAAAAACGACCAATTTCTATTTCAAAGGTTAGCAGTTCAGGCTGCTCACTTGACAAGACAGATACTATAACATAATCCAGGCACTTCAAATCAATAAAAAATTGGATATTAAACGGTTTATTGCCTCTCTATTTACACAAAGAGTCAATGGCTGTATAATGTTGGGTAAATAAGGCGGGATCAGTCGCGTGCGCCAAGATACTTTAGATACAAGTTTCCGTGTTTAGATGACGTTAATTCATGCGAAAAATATGTCTGATCAACCGCATGATCATTAGCTTTCATTATTTGAAAGAAATCGTTTATATATATGTAATGCTTCTTCAAAGCTAAGGTTTATTGATTACGATCGTTGTATAATCATCGATCTGACGCATCTTGTTCGCACGGACATTGGTCAGCCTTATGCCTTGACTTGAAAAATAACATTGTTTTTTTTCTCTTCTTTTAATCATAAAGAATCATAATAAAACTCCGGGCACTTGATAAGTAAAATACTTAGGCAAGAAACTTTTTAAATTTAATTCCTAAATAAAAGATTTTTTTTTTAATAAAATCGTTGATAAAACAGTAAAAAAATGTAAAATCTATAAGGTATTTATTCTCCGGGCACTTAGTTACTCTACATTTTTAATTTCTTCGGATTTCAAATAGTGTGATAAGAAATAGTTATCGAAATTTTCATTTGGTGATCGAAATTGTTAAATAATTTTAATCCCGCTGTAACATGCAGTAGCATTTCTAGGACACAAGAAATCGGAAAGGAACTTTTTTCATATTTGTTGAAATATTATAACAATAAGGTGCATATGAATCGTTGACTATATAAGCAATTGTTATTTTTAAGCGTAGAATTTTTTAAATAGTTATGTTTAGATCTATTTTCAAGACATTTGTATTTATTCTGTCCAAATAGTCCGGTAAAGTTCTATCTCCTGACTTATAAAAGTATTTGTTTTTATCAAATCTTCAAAATACATTTCATTATAGCATTTCTTTCTTTCTTCCAATCTTTTGCTTCATGGAATTTCCAAATAAAGACACCGTCCCTCGACGCTCATAAGAATTCCTAAAATTGAAACATTATATAAGTGATGTTACTTGTTATCTTTTCAAATCTACTTTGTTTATCTGTAATTTAAGAATAAAAAATTAAGAATAAAAAGATCGCCAACGCATTCCTTACTTTAGCCGGGAAAATATCCAAAATACATTTGCTGTGTGCTATTATATTTTATTATCAATAAACTCTTGATTGTGAATGCATATACTACAAGATTTCTTCGTAAGGATTCAGACTGTGGTTTTACTTAATCCATTTGTCTGTTAATTAGTCATAGATTTGTACACATGTATATGAAATAGCTTGACTATATTTTAGTGGATGGTCATTGTTGATTTTATAAATGCTAAATTCGATAGTTCCACAAAACTTTTGACAATTGAGTATCAACCTCTATCTTTAGTTTGAAAAGAAATCAGTTAGATCTTGAATAAATAGCCAGAAAAATATCGCCTAAATCCAAAGTGTGTCTAGCCACTAACAAGGTAAAAATAGATGTCAACGGTTTATCATTTTTTTATATCTAAAATTTCCGCCTATTAGAAGTTAATTATCTCAGCTGGCATATGGTCAGTTAGATTTCTTTACAGTGATAAGATGAAATTTAATTTAAATTTGGGACAGGTTTGAGTTTTCTTAACAATTCATTTCTTCTTTTAATAAACAAAGCAAATAATAGTTTTTTTATTAATCGATATAGATACAAAAAAAACCGAAAATATGATCATTTGGAATCATTTTTTTTTTCTCTTTCTATAAAGAATAAACCAAATTCTTACACACAATTTTTCCGGGAAACATCATTCCTGAAATAAGTTTTCAAAACTTATTTAAAAACGTTCAACTGTGTAAACTATATATTTGCATAGTTGAGATATAGTAGGCAAAGCTGTGGTCATAAAGCAGATTTTTATTTATCATTTTATACAATTTGTTTAAGATTTCCGCATATGATTTTTGTTTGTTTGAAAAAGGAAAATCTCTTTATTCGACAAATTTTTCTGTAAAACCAAATTTGAAATTATATGAAAGGAAAACGAAGATGAAAAAAAACGACTGAACGTGAATTCAATAAGCAAAAGAGGGGTAGTTACGCTTACAATAAAATATATATAAATTATTATTGGGGATACATGCACAACAAATGAGGTCATTTCAGGGTATCTAACAACTTCATCAAATTCTCGTCGTGTGACAATTAAATGATTGGCGACAAATTGATATTTTTCTTGGTAATACCGCTAAGTATTATGGCTAAAATATGATGTTAAACGCGATTTATTGGCAATAAACTTCATATAAATATTTGGCATTTCAATGACTTAGTGATGACATGGATACGTTGGCTCGTTTAGCCTTTGGGTGTATGTATCACTGTTAAACAACATGTTTCTCAAACAGCCTTTCAATAAAAATATCGGTTGTAAAATATCGAAATAGAAATTATTTTGATATGAATAAAAAATCCGCAAATTTTCATATAAGAGTGGAAGTAGTTTCTGGTTTGTCTCAAATAAAAAAATTTAAAAAATCTTTACACACAAAATTTGAAAAAAAAAGAATTAACAAGTTAAATGTAAAAATAAAAATAAATAAAATACTTACAATTACACAGAACTGCTTGTATATAACACAATACATTTGAAAATAAGATACATGTATTACATCGTCTGTTTATTGCACTTTTTATTAAAACAATTTCTTTGATTCTAAAATTCAAGTTTAACATGTTTTCCCCTTTGCCCACTTAGATTACTTTACAAAAGTCCTTTTTTTGTCAATAGATAATATAGAAAATTTTATTTTTTATCCTTTTTATGAATAATACAAAATAACACTTCACTTATAACTAAAATCACAGTTTCTAATTATTTGAAATTTACGGTAACAATTCTTTAAACTTATATTTTGTGTATTTAATAATTCGAGAATAAATTAATCTTTAATAGGGAAAGTATACAGTTTATCAGATATCCCGCTAGGAATATTTGCTTTACCGAATGATGCGTGTATTATTTCTCGGCGGGTGTGCTCATCGGCTTGCGAAGATGATCTACAGTTGGTAGGCGGGGCTTAGAAACACTAAGATATTCACTATGACAAAAATGGTTGTAGGTTTGCCTATAGGCGGGGTAATAATTAATTTGTGCACTTTTATTGGTTCAAAAGACCAATGTTTACATTTTATTTACATTTCTAATGATAGACAGAAACGGACTACTATATGTTTTATTTTCTTGCTGTCCAAATTATTTTAGAGACTAGCACCAAAAACAATTGTCATTTTAATCTTCTGTTGATCTAAGTTAGCTGTTGAAAGACCAAGATGGAATCTATACTGGATTGTAAACAGTAATTGAAAAGGACGTCATACTGGTGTGTGATGGAAGAGTAAAACACCACATACAGTGACAATTTTATAATTCTATTGTGTTTGATGAACGGATCACACCCGGATATGCTTCTGGAAGGTGGCTCACCAGATATGCTTGCAGCTCAGTCTAAAATCCTGTTCCAGTTAAACAAGTACTACAACGAACGGGTACAGTCACGACAAGGAGGCACGATGAAGACCATTAGAGAAGTCTGTAAAGTGGTACAAGAGGTCTTGAAAGAGGTTGAAGTCCAGGAGCCTAGATTTATTAGTTCTTTAAATGAAGCGAACGGGAGATTTGAAGGACTAGAAGTTGTGTCACCTACAGAATTTGAAGTTGTTCTTTACCTCAATCAAATGGGAGTATTCAACTTTGTAGACGACGGAACTATACCAGGATGTTCTGTTTTGAAACTAAGTGACGGTAGGAAAAGATCTATGTCTTTATGGGTAGAATTTATAACAGCATCCGGTTACCTTTCTGCACGTAAAATAAGGTCGCGATTTCAGACACTTGTAGCACAAGCAGTTGACAAATGTAGTTATAGAGACATTGTGAAAATGGTTGCAGACACAACGGAAGTGAAACTTCGAATCAAAGAAAGATTCGTCGTGCAGATAACACCAGCATTCCGTTGTGCAGGGATTTGGTGCCGCAGTGCTGCACATTGGCCAGTACCTCATATAGCATGGCCAAATCCAAATCTCGTGGCCGAAGTGAAAACAGAAGGATTTGATCTGTTGTCCAGAGAGAGTATTTACATGAAAGATAAACAAAGCGCCGCAGAGGGGGATGCTTGGGTTTTGTCTTTCAAGTATGCGGAGGACCGACTGCTATACGGTGGATGTCGACGAAGATTATTAAGTACCCTAAAAACTCTCCGAGACAGACACTTAGATATACCGGGTCAGCCAATAACAACCTATCATCTAAAAACATTAGTGTTGTACGAATGTGAGAAACATCCTCGTGAAATGGAATGGGATGACACATGTCTAGGGGACAGGATAAATGGAATTCTACTCCAACTTATATCGTGTTTACAGAATCGCCGATGTCCGCATTACTTCTTACCAAATGTAGACTTGTTCCGTGGAAAATCGACATCCGCGATGGACAATGCAGCCAAACAGGTATGGAGAATTTTGCGAGAACTTCTAACAAATCCTAAAAGTTTGGAAAAATTGTGAAATGTCAAAACCGTTCTTAACTTTAATGGAATTCTATTTGTTTTGAAGAAAGAACATTCTGTAAAAGGAATGCATTCATGTCATCAATCAAAGCAGTGACAGTGCCAAAATATTGAGGTGAAATATCGGAAGTAAGCAATTTTTCACTTGTGAGTAAATACATTGATGAAAGATGTCCGAATAATTTTCGTCTTCTGTTACCACCGACTGGTAAGTGATCTGAGCTGCATCTGTTGCTTTATACCAAAGATAACTATGAGGCATTCGATCTCATATATATGGCATTCAAGACATATTTAAAAGATTGAGTATGAAAAAACAGTGCGAAATTTCAAGTCAAAATAGTGCAATTCTTCAAATTATTGAGGAAAAACAGATAAATTTTGTTTTGTGATGAATGTCGTAAAAGTTTCCTGCATTATGGTATCTGTAGTGTAAATTATTGTTGAACAATATCATTGTTATGCTTTAAGATAAAAATTCCATAATAAATTAATTTATATAAAATATTTTTTCTTTTTAAGATAAATTTAAAATCATAAAATAAAACTTGGCATGCATAAAAAAAAGGGACAGAGTTGTTAATTTTACTCTCGGAGGAAATGTGGACATTTTCAATAAATGTTTATAAATTTGAGAGATATAAAACTGTGAACAAAGTATCTCCTAATCATAAAATATATAATCAGTTCGCAATGCAAAAATAACATCATTCCTATAGTTGGTATAGGAACATTTCGAATTGCCAAGGCTGTTATAGTAAAATATAGAATCCCCAATGAAAAAATATTAATACAACAATTGATTATATATTTTTAATTATTTAAGGTGAGAAAAATATATACAATAAATATTTACACTTTTTTTAAAATCAGAAATATTGTATTTGTTTGTTCGAGTCAAGATTTTGCTTATGGTAATAAAATTAAAACTTTATTCAGACGTCATACACTTTAATTGTGTGATAGTCTATAGTCATTTACTATCAGACTACATACAACACGTTATAGAATAAAAGTAAATTATTAGAAAGTGCAGTTTTTTTAAAATATATTCTCACTTCTATAACTATTTCACTTTGAATCCATTTTATAATGATTAATGACCTATATAGCACATTTTTATTATAATATTTTTGGATGTTTTAAATGCTGAATATTATTTTATACATATATTTACTGTCTACGTTTACACCGGCCGATTTTGGTTCATAACTTGTGGTGAAATTTCATATGTTGGATATTCAGCAGTTCTACAGAAACTTTTCAAAATAATCATCGCATCAAAAAATGCGATGTTATACTTGACCACAGAACTATATTTCAAATTTCTTCGAGTACTCTTTACTCAGAGGTTAATTTTTCAAATATCTAGCCAGATATTCATATTTTACATATATATGAATATTTTGCTGACTTCTATAATTTGAAAATGCAAAGGATTTTTTTTCAAGTCAAAATATATGTATAATCTTGATAACATGTATATGTCAGGGTGTATTAAATACTGGACACATGTTTCGGGATGGCTTGCAATGAATACTCCAATGTAAATAAACGATATTTTAAGAAAACAAAGGAAAAAAAAACAATTTGATTTTTTATAAATAGATTAAACATTCCTTAATGATATATGATATGGGATATTTTAAAGGAGGATTTTACAAAGGAAGTAGTCTAAAGAAATGATTTTTTCCCTTTTTCGCTAGTATGTTTATATTAAAATTTTATTGTTTCACACGTTCCAAACTCCTTTTCATGGATATATTTGACACTGAGGTAACACATTTATTAACAATATTAAATGCTAAAGGTTAAGTTTAGATGGAAAATCAAATATCTAGTTTTAATTTCTGTCTACACCAGCAGCAGACTGTTGTAGTTAAATAAGTGAGGTCAGAGACTCGAAACTTTTAAAAACAATAATTTTTATAGGTCTGTCAAATGAAAAATGCAAGAAAGAATGAGTTTTAGGGTCAAACCCATAAATATCAATTTGCCACTGCAAACAATATGTATGTTATGTAACGAGAAAACATATTTCTTGCCTCTTTCATGATATTTATACACTCAACATGCGTTTGTTTGTGTAAATGTCAACTTCTGAGATTAGAAATTCCATCAACACTTCAGTGAACTACACTTGTTAGCAACCAGAGATCTGTCAGTGCTCGCCTCCAACCGATAAAAACCCACTTCTCATTACGTTAAAAGCACCGAGATGCCAAAAACAAAAATTCTCTTTAAAATTTTGATAGTAAATTTAAGTATGTTGCAGTTTTTTAACATCAGGAGATAATTGCATGTAAAAACTGCTGCCATGGTTTTGTAGTACTAGATGAGGCGACTATCATGTTTAAATAAGATTTATTTGACACGGAATATATTTTCAAAAAAGTATATTACTGTTAACAGTTAGATAATTGGAGAAAGGATGCATTAGTTTTTTTTCTTTTTTTTTTTTGCAGTTTTATAGTGATAAGTGAATCTATAAGGTGACGTCACATTTTTTGCGATAATTTACGAGAAAGCATCACCTTTTAGACATGATCATTGATGCATTTAATTAGACTTAAATAAAAATTAAATACAATATTAATAGATTTTTGGTAGACACGACATCATATCTTCTTCATCGAAAAGTTTATCAAATTCTATGTATAACGATACGTTACAATGATTTTTTTAAAATGATGTAAAATTCAACAACTCTGAGTAATTTATCATTCAAATATACCACACACTTCGACAGTATATTCTCAACCATGACGACGATTAGCGTCTTGTGTTTGTCATGAAAAACCTCAAAAACACATAATAGTAAAAAGTCCTTATCATCATGGAAAATAAAATGGAAATAAAATTGAATAATTAGCCCCTGTTTATCATAAAAAAGACTTTATTGGTTGAACGGGAGAATTAAATGCAGAATTTCGGATGCAGCGGAAAGAAAGTATCTAATTATGCAAGGGAGAGACTACTAATTTTTTCCTGTTTATAGCTATTTATCAGAAATTGGAGATTAACGACCAGATTTTGCGGATCTTTTCGATTTAAGTGGAGCGATTTCTTATCATTTATAGTTTTTTTATAAACACATTTGATAGACTCTAATTTTGAAATAATTATACTCTATAAGCTTTGTATTAATGCAGATTATAGTTAACATGTCAAAGTTCAAACAGTGGTGAATGTTGACTTTTCTCAAGCTCTACAAAACGACTTTATTTTCACAAATTACAGCTTTTATTAATTTTATTCTTTTTTCATCTTTATCATTTTCTGTCAAATATATTAATTTATGAGTAGAGTCTTTCTTATTGAACAATCTAAATTTGATTTTAACAGCCCTAAAACAACCCCGACGTCCGTGACTTTGCAGATCCATAATTAGTCTTTCTTTTATTATGCAATCAAATTAATACATTAAAAATTACACACCAAAAGTAATAGAAAGATTTACAACCAAAAATTAAATACTTTAAAACGAAAAATCATTGAATTTATTTTATATTATCGCCTTTCTTTATATTTTATCTATGAACATGCAGTGAACACATTGATCGGCAAACGGCGATAATGCATATTATACAGTTGTACAACAAGACACAGGCAATTACTTCTTATCAAATTTCATAATTAAAAGATTTATGTATGCATATTTCTAAAAACAATAAAACAACGTACTAAGCAAACTTGATTAGCCTTAATATATCTTTGGAGACGCTGGTTGTTTTTACGTGGTATACCCAGACTATGATATTTTTTTATGAAAAATAAAATCTCAAAGTAAAATATCCTGTGAATCTTTTGTTTATTTTGGCTATAGTAATTCCTTCACGACCATAATAGCTAAGCAGTTGATAATGAATCAATCAATTGAGCGTTAACCAACTTAATTGTAGTTGAACTTAGCAACAACAACAAAAAAATATTTTCTCTCAAATACTTTTTTGTTTTCATCCCAAAAACAGATAAGAAGACGAAAAGAAAGAGAGAATCTGAGAATCTTCAGATGTTGTTGTTCTTTTGTTATTATAACTGGATTTGAGTCAAGCTGGCCTCAATCTGCACTAATCCACTGATAGACAGGCAAATTTGTTGGATATAATGTATCGGCATAAAAGAGAATTGTTGTTAAACAACATATGTGTTTGATTTTCTACGGATGAAGAACGGTATTTCACATAAATAAAGATAATTAGTCCTAAGCGTGTATATAGAATTTAGAATTTTGTGTTGAAATCAGGCTTTCCACTACGAATTTATTTTGCTTATCCTCAATTTTTCGCCGTGTTATTATTTCAATACAATGATTTTCTAATATCTCAGTCATTGCATTGAACTTGAAGTCTACGATTGACACTGCTATGTTGTCCTAATTAAATTAAAAAGAGGGAACAAAAACAAAAATGAAAACGTTTGTCTACACCAGTTGTAACTTGTAACAGTTAAGATATAACCTATATGGAAAATAGTACATTGTCATAATGATTGTGCCTAAACCTTGAATCTAAATTAAAAAGGCCGAATAATCCAGTCCTTCCCCGTAACCGATCTCTTACTTGCGACAATTTACTATATAATTAGATAAAGAGATAAAAAAAAATATCAGAGCCTACTTATCAGATAATATATAATATAATAATGATAATAATAATAATAATTGTAATAATTATTTTGATAATAATAATGATGAATGCAGATTTAAAATTTTGTCTTCATATTTTTGTATAACATAAAATTGGGACCCGTTTGATTAAAAGAGGCCATAAGAAAATACATGGTTTACATGTTATATGCTAAACTGAGAAGTATGAAATATTAAATCTATTATTATTTGATTGCATAAGTTTTTTATAATCAATTCGTGATTCAACCATCATGAAATGTGCTAATACCATTTCCCTTTTGACCATTTTATAGTCGTATGGGCACTGGTGAAATACGGGAAAGCTGTTAGGGGTTACTCTTATGCCAAAGCAAGCATATATCAAGGTTTCTAGATGTCTACTTTTAAAGTATTGTGTTCGTATAATATGACCAAAATCCATTAATCGTGACCATAAAAATACATGCAACATCATCACACACACACACACATATATATATATATATTGGTGTTCATAGATAACCGTTCCTAACTTGCTATTCAAGTTGGGTTTTTTTACGCAATTACCGATGAAATATAGTTGAATCAGGAACTGGAATTACTTTAATGGACGTGAGTGTGTCACAAATATTCTTCGTCATGGTTGAGAATAAACCATCGAAGTGTGTGGTATATTTTTGTTCCTGAATATTTAGTCATTTCGAATTCTGAGCAACAATTTTGAAGATAGTTTTGCCCATGTTTCCTTTGTTGTAATAATTATCCATTGTTAATAGTATCCTCGATCTGGCATTCGGCATTTAACCGCATGCATAAAAAAAACATATGTCAAATAGACAGCAACCAAACAATTTGACAGAAAAAGAAAATGTTTTAAAGGTTGTCATATTCGGTCT